AATGATTTTTGGCATAAAAGAAAAATCGATAATTTTGACCCATACAATGTATTTTTGGCTATTGCTACAAATATACCCCAGCGACTTAAGACTGGTTTTGTGGTCCAGGGTCACATATAAATATATGCACACATTTATATATAAATATACTGTATATATATAAATAAACTAAAATATAATATACAAATGTTTGTAATATAAAACATACTTTTATAGTAAAATACTGTATATTGTATTAAACTTGTTAAAATGTTGCTGTTAAAAATAGTTGTTTAAGTAAAAGACATATAAATTGTCATCCTGTTATCCTTGAAAAATTGTCATGTGTTTTTACAGTGTAACTTAAACCACACACACTTTCCAAAAACCCATCCTTCAAAGTCATGTAGAGCAACCGGACAGAGATTGTTTCTGACTGGCTTAAAAAAGGAGCCTATCGTACTACCTGTGAGATATTTCTGCTGCTCCAAAAATAAATAAATAAATTAAATAATCGCTTACAGCACCTTTAACGGAGGTGTGCAATCATCACACTTTTGCAAAAGCTAAATATCAAAGCATAGCCAAGAAAAAAGGGTGCTGACCACTTTATCCTCCTGTTGCAATTCCACAGGGGAGGAAACGCAAGAGAAAAAGACAAGGGAAAAAAGAAGAGGGGAGAACAAGTGTGAGTGACATTCAGACACGCATAAAGAGATGTTCACGAACTACTGCAGCCAATCACATCGCCGCTTATTACTCTGCACAAAGTCATTTAAAAGCACCAAGACTGTACTGGGAGAGAGACATCAAAAGGTTAGATAAGCAGTTTCTGGCCTGATACATCCATCGCCCCGGGCCAACGGGCGATGTGGTAAAAACAGAGGGAGCATCGCCCTCTTGTGGTCATCGCATTACCCGCTTAACCCTCAGCGGCCAGCAGCAGGAAATAACACAAGATCAAATGCGTTACAATGAGTTGAATGATTTCTGTATGAAATTACATAACAAAAAGGCCCTGTTAAACTACAATAATAAGTTAATAAGTTATAATAAGTTAAACTACTTAAATAATAAAACATGGCTTTTAGCATCTATAAACATCTCACACTGTCACAGTTCTCAAAAACATCTCCTTTATTATGAGCTGTAAATATTGAATATGCTCAGAATGGCATATTACACTATTTTTTGCAGTAAGTACAGTATAGTGATATATCAAGTGCAAGTGATATCAAATGCAATTTCTAATATCATTGTAGCTTATTATTTGAGTGGATTGCCAATTGGATTGACTTTTTACTCAGTACTGGATTAACCCAATAAAGCCTACTGTATAATTTTTTTAAGCCTCTACACAATCAACATGATCAAAACTTTGCTGAAAAATTGTTGCAAACATTCTACTACATGTGCTAAAAAAGTATAAATTATCAGTCAGATGACATTGAATGCATTTTAGTATAATTCTAAAAACATCCACCTTCAGCTCATGGTTCACGTGTGTATTTGCTGTGAAATCTTGATTATTCTATAAAGTAAACATACGAATAACCTTTATATTGTTAGTAACACTACTGGACTGAAGCAAGGTTTACCTGATTATGAAAACTA